CTCAAGTGCCTAACTTGGACAGTACTCAGGCATGCTTGACCAGAGAATTCCCACCATTATTGTAGACATACAGTACTTGTTCTACCATCCTGGGGGATGTGAGCTTCACAAATTCTGCTTGGCAAATAGACAATATTCTCTAGGTTTTCCGTGTAGGGAGTGCTCAATGTGTACCCTTGGGCTGTCCTATCCTCAATGCTTCTACTACACAATCTTTACCCTCTGTTTCTTGTTCAGTATGTAATTGATAGTCAGCTACAAATTTCAACCCTTGGGGGTGTCTCGTGCATCGTTTAAGCAGCTGATGGTTGCATATACTCTCTGCCTGCAACTTTTCATCTCTTAATGGCAGAAATTCAGAAGGCTAATGCTTCCTTGATTTCAGTGCAGGAATCTTGGGGATGCTTCAACTAGGATTCCACTGTTACTTATGCTTCAACCACCTGGGCATCAAATATTTTCTAGCAATGCCTTTTAGTCTTAAAATTGCACCCAGGATCTTTATGTGGATCTGTTGGCCCCTTGTGAACTGTCTTTGGACTAATGTTTTGTTAAGGTTAATTTTCTCAGGGACATCTTGGGTGTGGGCTCAACTTCACTTTCAACATCCACCACCCTTATCACAGTTCTCCAAAACTTTTGGGTGGTGGGGGTTCTGTATCAATCTCTGCCAGTCCCAGCTTGTTCCAACATGATTATTACCTTGGCTGGGTGTCCCACTGTACTCTGCAGAGTTATGGCTCTCAATCTCAACAGAGTAACAGAAAACTCTTCGAGCACTTCTTCAGTATTTCCTTTCCCAGTATCTTCCAATCCACAGAGAAATGGAGTCGATAGTTGGAAGTTTAATTTTTGTATTTTTTTTCCTGTCTCTGGGGACCCTGTGCCCCTTTTGGGTGGTGAGAGCAGTGACTCGATCCTTTTATGCCTTCCAAAGGAAAGCGTTTCCTTTCCTACTGGATGGTGCTACTACATCTCTGGATGGTGCCACTACATCTCTGGGGATTGCTTCCAATGAACTTTCCTCCATCATCAGATGCTTTTATGATGAAAGATTCTGCTATAGATTGGGGAGCTGCACTTAACATCTTCAACATAAGATTGTTCTTCACAGTAACTTGAAAGAGCTGAATGCCATACAGTCATTATTCACCAGAATAACTTTCTGTAGGACTCGCCACTGATGGTCTACTTGATCAACATGCTATCATTTACCTAGTTTAAAATTTCTGGCCCTCATATGTTGCTAGACTTTTGTGAGTTTCACATCAGATTTTCCTATTCTCTTTCATACAGAGCACTTAAACATCTCAGTGGATTGTATTTCCCAACACCTTTCAGTTCCTTGTGAGTAATAACCTCACCAGGAGGTGTCTCCATTCCTTGTGACACAATGAGGGTCTTCTAGAGATGGATATGCTTGTCACCAGGGAATTTCACAAGCTTCCAGTATTTTTCTCTTATTCTAGACATGTCAACAAGTGCAATGGGTGTAATGTGTCTGGACTGGTTGGATTACCGGTTCCTCTATCTTCACTTCAGGATCCCCACTGTTGGGGATAGTAGCTTGAGATTATGAGCAACATACACACTGCATTCTCATTCTCATTTAACATAGGGTCCTGTCTCTATTGAACATGGCAAGGAATATTCTGCATTTACAAGATTATGGGTATAGGCAAGGTTGATTTCTACTCTTCAAGCTTGGCTGTTATAAGATCCTCCACAGAAGATTCTGGTTTCACACTGAATGAGGGTTGATTTGTCTGGGATCATGGTGGGCCTCTACTCAACAACAGTGTGTGTGTGCTGGAGGGCAGGGGGGGGGGGCAGAAGTTCTTGTCATTCATCAGCATCAAGGATGTTTACCTCACCAGGGTTACTCAGTTTGTTGTTATAAAATTTAATTGGCTTGAGCTCTGTGAGAATCAGATTTTTAAATGTGTTTATAAGTGTGGGTGTTTCCCACTCCTTGTTAAGAATGCTGTTGAGGGCATATTTTTAAATGTTGGTCCTTGAACTGTATGGTGTTAGCATATAGCACCTCTAACTCATCTTTCACCATGCCCATTGTAAGATATCCATACTCAGCTTGGAAAGTAGTGTTTCTTTTGACGACTGCTATGGGCACAAAGGTGAGTATCCCCTATGCTCTACAATGGATTCCAGACCTAGTATTCTATCATCTCATGGAGCTAAATGACACTATCACCTCAAGGCTGAAATTCCTGCTAAAGAACAAAAAGGGCACACAGTGCTAACTGGAATACTGATGAGTTTACGATTACGAGTCTTTTGACGCTCCTCTTCTTTGTCCTGTTATAACACTCAGGGTTGGCCTTTCTCTGGTTTACCTTTCACTGTACTCATAGCGGCCCATTACCTCTCTTCAATCAGGCCTCTTTATTAACCCCTTCAGGGTTCAAGGCCCAAATCTGAAGTGGTGCCCCAGTGTCCAAGAATTTAAAAAAAAAAAAATTGTTATTTTTTCTTATGAAATGGTAGAGAATCTTTTTGTGAAGGTAATAAAACAAAAAGTACGAAATTTGATGGAAAATTGACGAAATTATGCTCTCGCGAATTTTGATGTGTCAGCGATATTTATGAATCGGCGTTTTTGCCGACTTTGACTCCCATTTTAGGCCAATTACATTATTCCAGTCAACCAAATTCTTAGCTATTTCACTAGTATTACTTCTATTCTATCGATTGAGCACAAGAAATCGCCAAGTCAACTGTTTCAACTACAAATTAAAGTGATCGGAAATTGTTAATTTGGCCAATTTAACACAAAGTTCAAAATATTCAATTTCAAAATAGGGTCCAGAATAAACAATGTAGGTATTCCTGGAACTAAACTAACATTTCCTCTGTTCATTAGTTACGTTTTGAGGCTTTACAAATAAATTCCATTTTGATTTTTTATTCACATAATAAATTTTTATTCAAACCAAAAAAATAGAAGATTTACTGTTATGCAATACTGTAATAATTGTATAAATATCATCACCATATTTGTGAATGCATATTAGACCCACTAGCTGGTGTGTATTAGACGTGTGAGGTGGTTTGTTTACTCTTGAATATCGGCAAAAATTTAACATTTCTGCTACTTTGAGCTCAGTTTCAAGCCATTTCCAGTGCTAAAACCAATCAAAATAATCTCTATTTCTGTAATATGTCTTCCATTCTATCAAATGAGACCAAGAAATTGCAAATACAACTATAAAAAACATACGAAAAAACACTGCAAAGTCGCTGTTTTAATCGAAAAATCATGATTTCAGTTTTTTTTTTCTCTCATTATATACAGTGTGCTGCAGGATCTGTTTTATGTGGTACACACATACCACATAGATGTATTCTCTCATATCTAGGCCCAAATGTACCACTCACAGTTTATCAGAGTGAGCTGAGCTCATGACGTAGATCTACGGTTTGGACCCTGAACGTAAAGCCGTAGATCTACGGGGCGGACCCTGAAAGGGTTAATCTAGCTTCAGGACTTAATGTCAGTTCTTGCTCCTCACCACTTGGGTAAAACAATTCATTATATTTGTTCACTGTACGCTGGTGAAGGTTTTTCTGCACCCACAGTAAAGACCTATGGTATCTGGGGCATTTTGAGGTTCTTGACACTAATGGATGCCATGAAAATCATGTGCTTCAACTGTCTACCAACATAATGGTAACTTACTAGATAGGAACCAAGAAGTTGCTTTCCTAGGACACTACACTCTGAGGTCAGTGCAGATCTTATTACAGTACTCTCTTAATGTTAATGTTTCTCTTGGCCTAGTTCTCAATATACTTGATGTGTGCTTGCAGAGAATTATGGAACACCTTCTCTTCACCATACTTGAGTTAGTTGTGCCTTTCTACCAGGCAGTGAAAAGGTTTATCCCTCTTCTGAGGGTATCCAACCTGGCCAGACCTAGACAAGCATACAGATCAAAGTGGTAACTGTTCTGAGTTGTGTTTTAGCTACAGGCATGATATGGCCCTGAACCATTATAAACATTAGGGGCAATATACCAAATTGACTATTGGAAACTACAAAGTCTAAACAGATGGTTCTCTAAATTCTGATAATATTAGTTCTCTGGAGGAAATGATTGGATTACTGATAAATGTGTGTGTTCATGAATGATTACTGGTGCTATTCTACCTAAATTTAATTTGCTATCACACGTAAGAAGTATCCATGATTTTTCTGGTTAGCTAGGTAGATGAACCTTAGCCAAATCACCTAATAGAGGATTCAGGACTGTCCAAATCCTGTGTTTGAAAGCTTCTTATACAGGAAGGTTCCAGGGTATAATACAGAGTCCATTCCTTCCCTTTATCAGGTGTTTTTCCACAGGCTGTGCAGAGTAGTTGTGCGTGCTTGAGCAGTATCTAAGTTTGATGCTAGAGGGAATTTGTACACATATGCACAAGAAGTAAACAACCCTAAACTAGGCAGCAAAAGTGATAAGAGTTCTAATTACTGGTAATAAAGAAGTTTTATAGACAGGTATCTATTTATAATGTGGCCATGGAACCCTTTACAGAAATTAGTTTTTCATTCAGAGCCTCTACAATAGACATTATCCTTTGATTAAATTGATTGTTGAGTGAATACTACATACATCATAATGTGCAAGCTGACTCCATCCAGGACATTTTTGGGTGTATTGACATTATTGGATTTTTTGTTATTTTTGTATTCTATAGAAAATGTTTTTCTAAATAAAAAATGTGGTATATGTAAGAACTGAAACTCCATAACATTTTGATTCTTCACTTATAGCACAGTATTGTAAATACATATTGCTGTGTATGTGTTTTTATAATTCATGTAAATTATCAACTTGGGATTAAAGTATTGTATGGGACTGATTTTTCAGAAGTTTGGTAATGAAGTTTTTGAGTAATTTTAATTATTTGATGTATATTTAGGAAATGTGTTACTATTGTAGTATTAGTTAAAATTTAAAGTTTTGACATTATCTCAACAGCCAAAACCCCCAAGTCAGGGCAAACAACAGCAGTTGCTACAGCCACAGACACAGCACCATCATCTTCAACAGCACCAACACCAGCAGCCTCAGCCACAGCACCATTCATCTAGACCGCCACAAGGAGGCTCTCTGCCTGACTTCTCTATTAATTTGCCGGTGTGTATCTATGGTATAGTTTTCATCAGAGTAATACTGTTTGGCTTGTAACATGCATCATTTAAACCTTGTTATGTTTCCTAATGTAGCTAAAGCTTTTCATTCATATATTTTAATGTATCAGTGTTTTCTGTAATTTTTAATTTCTTGATATTGAAATGCATTTTTTAGCATGAATTTTTTTTGAGGTACAGTACAGTGTATGTTGTAGGGAGTACTGTATCATGATATGAACAAATGTATTTAAAATTAATTTCCACTTTTCCATGAGTGCATGAAGTGTAAATTGTAATTTAAATTACAAAGCCAGTTTTTATTCATTCAGAAGTTACAAAATAAAGCATTTTTGTATAGACCCTGTAGATCATCGATTATCCAGCAGTCCTGTTTGATCTTGCAAATTATTGCATAATCCAGAGACCATCGGAAAATTGTTTTTTCAGTCTGGTAGTTGGCCACCACATATCTGCAATCAGTTGAGTAAAGAAGTCAGTGTTGTAATGTGTTGCCGAATATCCTAGAACAGCAAAAATATGAGAATTTACATGTTACTGTAGTGTTCCTTGTCAGAAATGTATGCTGAAAGTAATAAATTCAGTTTTTCAACAATTATTCATTATTTTTTATTTATTTATTTATTTATTAACAATTTGAGCACACATACAGAGGTACAAAAAATACAGATAAGAGCAGCATGCCAAAGCCACTTATACTATGCATAGCATTACGGGCTGGCTTAAAATTAAGTTAAGATTAACTAAGCAATGATGAAATCAGTGATAAAACATTAATGTAAACAGATTATTATAAAGCACAAGTGAGTATTACAAAAACAGGTCATATGGTTGCATGCATTGTTGTACATTCAGTCGTATGGAGTATTCTGTTAGG